TTACTTTTCACAGTTACCACGCCGTTTCTCTCGCAACGGGCGATGCATTTTCCCCCGCGCGACGCGTGCAATTACTTATCCCACCGTTAGCGCCGTTAGGTACTGTCGTTGATGTGCGTTAGAGTCGTTCGTAGAAGAGAGAGAGAGAGAGAGAGAGAGAGAGAGAGGGGTAGAGGCGGTCGGTTCGCGAAGAACGGTGAAGTGGAGGATCGACGGAAAGAAGAGGAATGAAGGCTTGTAAACGGAAGTGATAGGAGAGAAAGAGAGAGAGAGAGAGAGAGAGAACACGCGGGGCGCCTTCGAGTTGGAGTCTGAAGAGCGAAAGGACGTGGCCATGTCGAAAGAAACGGAGAAAGAAAGATGGGGGCGGAAGCGCGTGGGGAGTCGACGCGGAGTAAGGGTAGGGGTAAACGAGGTACGGAGCGGCGGCTTCAAGGCTCGATTATGTGATATAAAGTTGCCAGTGAGGGGTGACGAAGGAGGTCGGAGAGGGATGCACCCTCGTTGATTGAGCCGCCACCTCCAACGTGCCGTGAACACATGTGCTGGTGGCAACGCTCTGATTGGAAGCCAGATGGGCTCTTCAGCCTCTTACCTCCGCACAAACTCTCACCTCCGTCGCGGCTCCTCTCCCGTCTCCTTCTTCTCTTCGATATCCGAAACACAGCGTCGCCAAAGTACCGCAGTAGATGACTATCCCACGACGGTTGCCGGCGTTTCATCTGGATAGATGTCTGCGATTGCCACGAGCAGGCTTAAGAGGGCCCCGATTTATCCGGGGAGGGAGGGGAAAACTCCAACGTACCGGAGTTTGTCTCCTGTACCTGTCGAGGCTACTGGTTCCTCATCATCATCATTATCATCATCTTCTTCTTCTTCTTCTTCATTCAATATACAATTCCAAAAGCCGATTAAAAGCTAATTTCCAACGCCATTTAATGAGTTTAAATATCGGATTCTATTTCGTGTATTACCGAAGTAAGTATTTGGTTGGTATAGAGAAAGTCAAATTTAAAAAATATCGAAAGGATAATCGATTTTCTAAAAAAAAAAAAAAATCGATTTTCGATTTATCGAGCGATGATTGCCCATCCATTCTCGAACCTATGCAATAACCCTGCGTAACGCGTGCGAACGTCGATGTATTCCTCTGGATTTATTTTAAACAGTTTTGTTAGCATTTGATGTATCGGCTCCGTCCGACGGGATGATCCCCGGATAAGTTTCCGCGTCATGGCGATCGCACCGAAAGTTTTCTAACATCACCGTCGCAAAAGTCTAACGGAGGTTTTCCCGAAATGTTGCTATGCTTTATTCAAAGTCTTGCTTCCTATAACGCGCTCGCCGCAATGCACCGGAAGCTATTCAAAAAATCATCGAGAGAAGCCTACTGTTTTGCATTAATGGCGTCGTTTAAAGTTCGCAATGCTACTTGGCCATTCTCGCCTATTCTCTGACATGCCGCGATAGAATACATATTAACGAATCCAATAACGAAAAACTTTCGAAGATGCTGCAAAAATGCGAGACTCTGTTGCGTGGGAAAAGGATTTGTGAATTTATCGTCGATATATACGCGGCCTTTCAGTTTCACCTGTGCGGTTAGGCTGCTTCGTAGACTTCGGAATAGGAAATCCTGCATAACAACTATTTTCTAAAATTCACGGTCGTAGACAAAGATTCTTCACGCGTGCGGCAGATTAAATAATTGACCCTCCTGTATTGTAGAAGTTATTTCTATAAGAGTGTCCCGAAATCAACGCATGTCCGACATTTTCGTAATTAAACGCCTTAGAATGTTCCAAAGAATGTTAAGGACATACGTTGATTCTGGGACACCCCGTATGCAAAAATATTTGCCTCTTATCTCTTTTATTAAAACAGTAAATATTTCCCGCTCTTTTATGAAGTAGCTTTTTCATGAAGTAGAATATAAGCACCGTTGGAAGAAACTCGAAAAATCATGACGTTGCTTTCGACGGTGATAAACGAGAATGAAAAGTTCGCCGACCAAGATTCGCTCGTAGTAATCAACTGTGTTTATTACGTGATAATTACTCGAGTTTACTCGACTCCGCTTCAGGTTCCCCGCTGAAGTTGTCATTCGCGCTTGATGTGCGAAGCCCGTTGTGTAGCAAACTTCTTTTATTTCGTATCTGTTAGAGGCGGTAGTTAGAATGCAGGTCGGACCGGTCGTATTCTTCGGATCAGCGGGCGGCGCCGCTTCCTGTCTCGTGCAGTGACACTGTGACAACATCATTACGCAATGCAACGCGGCTCGTTATATCTTCGTCACGGCAAAGAGTCGCGACGATCGTTCTGGTGTGATGATTGCAGTCGCGATAACAATTGCAACGACGGTTCATTAAGTATCATTACTTTTACTGTGCGCGCGGTAAATTTTCCTCCGTAAGGTCATTTTTGCGCGAATCCTTATCAGACCGCGGCGTTTTTCGTTAATTTTTCAAATGCGATATGATCGATCGATCCGGTCGAATTCGGCGCAAATGCCGAAAGCAAATTAGTCGCCGGTCAGTCGTGGCGATCTCCATTCGAGCCGACGTTTATCTTTTATCGAGCTTCGATGCATACACCGCCGTCGCGCGAGGAAAACGCGTTTCTTGTGTGCATCGTGGTGGTTTACGAGTGGACATAAGCGGGCTTGTTAGGACGGGCGGACGGAGGGGTAGGTTCGAAGATTTTCACCGAGCGGGTTTGCAGTCAGGACACACAAGGGACAGTTCACTGGCTGTAGCCGCCGGCGGTCCCCAGAGGTGGTGACCCTGTTGCAAGCCGAACCTAGCCTGTGGTCGCTGGCTTGTTAGATCCAGTTTGGGGTCGGCACCGGGGTTGAAGAGGGGCACGGAAGGGTGGGATACTCGGTGGAGGGCGCCACTCTTCAGTAGACCGCAATCGGGTATGCAATTTACGTGGTGTCCGACCTCTGCGATGCGCCATCCCTCGTCTACCCGCCTCCTCGAATCGGTGCTTCCACCGCTTCCCACCGCCCCTATCCTTTCCGTCCCACGCATTTCGAGGATTCGCACTCGTAGGCCAAAACGAAGGGGTTGAGAGCGGGGCCGCTGGCTCTCTCTCTGATTCGATACGCAACAGTGAAAACATCACACATAGATGGTAAATCCTGACTACCGTGTGTCGGCTGTCGAGAGCAAGAGAGAGAGAGAAGTAGAGAGGGAGAGGGGTGAGGGTGAGAGAGAGGAACTTGGGATGGAACACCGCACATACGGGCCTGAATGAAGCGGAAGAACGAAAAAGCTGTAGCTGTCGCTAGCAGAAGTTTCGACGGTGCTTAGATGAGAGTCGATTTCTTTTCTCGTTGCCGCGAAGCTGGAGGTAGCCATGACTTTACCTGGCCGAGATCTCAATAGCTGGTAGCGCGCAGGAAATTGGTAACAGGACGACTGCTTGAACACGCGAGCTAACAATCTGTCGAAGGTCGACGTCAAGAAACGTTTCCGCCGCTATTCGCGTCACCTACGAAAAGATTCCGGTACATTGCATCGAGGAAATGAAAGAGCCACTATGTAAAACGAATTTTCTACAACAACAAAATCGATTAGTTAAAAATTTGCATTGCTCAACATTTAGATAGCTCGAACGAAGCACGGTTGAATTAGTGTTTCAACGCGTACGAAAGAGTTGTTTCGCAACGGATACACGATTTATCTTTCGCTAGGCAATTTTCCACCGACGTTACTCGTCTTTGCTCTGCAGCAAATAGTGAATTTATTAAACGTAAAAGGGTGACTCCATCCCCGCTTTGCATTAATAATCATTGGCGACCATCGAGCAATTTACACGCCTTACATGACTCTACTCGTTCAAGACATCCGCATGCTAAAATCTCAGGCCGTTCGACGCGTACCAATGCAAATGTCAGGTCGAACGGCATTACCCGGCGTAACGTGCATGTTAATCAGACGAGGCTACGTCGGGCGCCAGCACCGGTGGCATAATTCGTTCAATTTACAAGCATTATCGCGCTCGTTGCATTTAATCGCTGAAAATTAGGTTACGCCACCGAGCTGACGTGACCGCGCTCCAGCAGCTTTTACATGTGCTAAAACTCTTTTGCACTTTTAAGCGAGGCATTTATTGAAAAAAAAAAAAATAAAATAAAAAAGATTACCTCAAAAGCAGTTTCAGTTTAGTGAACGGTGTTGCGTAATGATGCTTGACAGTTACGCCGCTTTTATTTTAACGGAATAGCAAGCGAGAGGGAGAGGTTGAGAAAGAAAAAGAGAGAGGGGAGGGGGGGGGAAGAGAGAAAAAGTAAATTTTACATTTTATATTTCAAACTTACATTTATTTCCGAAAAAATTTATATCGGGGAAATTTCTCCTCAACGTCTCGAAGTCGTCATCGTCGTCATCGCCGTCGACGCAGAGTCAAATGCAAATAGCTACTTTCACCCTCATCAGATTTACGTACGGATGTATTCGTATGTACATAACGCACGCGGAATATCACGACTTCGGGAGCTGGAGGCCGACGACGAATTCGTAGGAAAATAAATTTTGCTTGGCGGAGCTTCCAACCGTAGAAACGTGCGTTTCTATCGACTGTCTCCTTTGTCGCTCTTTCAGCATATCTTACCGCTTTTCGATATGTTCCGGAGACATCGCAAATCCCACGTTTTCAACGAGAAACCCGCAAGCACAAATTCGAGCAATTTCGAATTTTCCTTTGGGTTTTTTCTTCTTATATATTGAAAGAAAAGTTGCTGCGCCATAAAGGAATAATGATGAACTCGACAACAGTTAAAACTCAAGACTGGACATAGCATGTGTCCGTATGATACATATTATAACTTATTGTTGCGTTACTTATTACGTTTTACTAGTTGTTATCTCACAGAACAGTTTGAACGGTGAAAATAATATATTTTTATTGATAGCGATCGCTCGAAATTTCTCGATTTATCGAATAGCACCTCGTTCGCTCCGTTGATTTTTTGTTCGGAAAATTGAAATATTACATTCATATGCAAGTGTTTGATATATTTATTATGGTTTACTGTCTCACAGGCTACTCTAGGTACCCTACCGTGCTGCAACTGCTAACGCTCTAGTGTAGTTTCTCGGGACGTCGACATTATTTTCCTCCAATTTGACATTTCTATTTCCTCAATAACTATGAATATCCATAATTTTTCGCCTTTTTTCCGCCCCCATTTCGAGATTTGGTTATGCTCCTGGGTTTGGTTCTGGATTCGGTTCTGGTTCTGGATTCGGATTCGGTTCTGGATTTGGTGCTGGTGCTTCAGTTGGTGCTGGTGTTGGTGCTGGTGTTGCAGTTTGTGCTGCAGTGGAGCTCGTGGTCGTGGTTGTGGTTGTGGTTCTACGTCTGCGCCAGCGTCTCCAGCCCCATCTTCCGCCCCCGCATCCCCATCTAAAACGTCCCCGTCTTCTCCATCCGAATTGTTCCTTCATACAAAATAACAAGTGATTATTTCCCAGAAACTTATTTACGAACTTTTGGACAACACTTAACTTTAATTCCGTATCACTCATATTTCAAACGTGTTTGTTACGTAGGTCACTAGAAGGTAACTATTAAATAAGCGTTGAGACTTACGGAGTCTTGGAGCAAGGCACATAGTACGACCAACACTAGAAGCACGACTGCTAACCTCATGTTGCAATCTGATATATTTTTTCACTCCTATTGCATCGCAGTGCTGCAGTAGTAGCAATATTTATACTACGCTGATGAGTAACGATCTTTTTATGAGAAACATTGACAGTGAATAATTATACGTTTTTATTTTGCCAGTTGCGTGACATATGTCAGGTGCTGCTTAATGAGAATAATTAATGATTTCGCGATCTCTCTTATTACCGGTTCCGCATTCTTTTGGACACGTATCGATACGAAATTGTCACACGTGTGAATGCCGTAACGACGTCAGACAAGTGCACTCGAATTACTACAGAAATAATGCGGGCGTGCACGTGCGCGGCCCGGTTACCTCTAGAAATAAAATGGTATCATTTATTAGACGCGTCATAATGTCCCCCAAATGTTTCTTTTTTCTCTTCCCACCTTTGTTCTAGATAAGATTATATAAAACAACCAAGAATAATTGAAATGCTTTGTACAGTAAAATAAGAAAAATTCTTGGACATTTTTATAGAAGGAGGTTTTTATAGAAGGAGATTTTTATATAGGGAGAAATATATATTTATTCCCTTTCGCGCGTATATTTATGAATATTATCAATGCTAATTAAATTTACTATTTGCAACAAAAACTTACCGCATACCAAGATAATACATAGTTATCATAAATCCATTTTTACATTCCTTCAAAGTAAACATAATAATGGCGTGAGTCGTAAAGATGAAATCGTCTCTCTCCCGTCGCTCTTTTTTCACTTAGAAGCCACTTACATCGCATTCGCGCGATTAAAAGCGTGTTCGAGGATTTCGTTTCATCGATATATCATCCCCCGCACAAAATATCATGTACAATGCGAGAGCGAAAACACCCCCAAGGGTGTATGGATGTGCGCGAATCCTCACTTTTGGGCTCCGACAATTCACCTCGTAGCATCCTCCCAATAGTTATTTTAACGCTCGCATTATTTATGGCATCAGCGTTACGCCATTACGCGATTCCGTTGAATTAAATTTCTTTTGTCTTCTTTCTTTCTGTCTTCTTTCTTTCTCTTATCAGTGACTAACGAGTGGCTAGTTATCGTGGCTTCCGAGTAACTCGAAAAATATGTCCCTGGTGGTAGGTATGAATATTTATTGCTGAGTAATCAGCGCGACAAGCTCGTTTACATGAAAATACAGTAATTTTCTATTGGGATTATTAAGTGGAAGGACGCGATCCGTGACAATAATTATCACGAACGATTTTACATATATATTATCATTATCGGTTCTATTGAAGGATACTCGTAACTTCGCAGAAAAATGGGATAAATTTAATGTGAATTGAATGGGGATCAAAAAGTGCTTCTCCTATTCTACGTAACTGCAAGGAAACGAATTACTCGCGTTCGCCGTTATTAGATTGGTGGTATTAACGAGGCATCGCGCTCTTTTTCCGCCTGTAATCGGATAATACGTCGACAATGACTATCACGGGACGTATTACGGAAGGGAGTACAAGGCGGATCTGTGAGCCCTACATGCTCTTCCAGAGAGGTTATACGGTAATACAACCTCCTCCGGCACCCTCGTCAACTCATACCACTTTCGTCATACCCCAACAATCGAAGCTCGTCTCTCTCTCCCTCTCCCTCTCTCTTTCCCGCTTGGTATTTAATCCCCTCGTCCTCTGTTGTCGGCCGATTTGATAACGCCCGACAGTGCCTTACACGGAGGAGAAGGGAGGAAAAGAGAGAGCGGGAAAGGAACGAGGAGAAAACGAGAAGAAAGAAGCGTCGCGTATAGCGATGTCTTTTGATTTATGTCGTCGCGTCTACCGAGTGACGGCACGCATCAATCATCCGAATAGAGGTATCGACGAGTCGTGTGGGCCATCGGTCGAGCGAACCTCGGGTCCCAATTCGACAGGCCGGATGAATGCACGGAGGGCAGAATCTTGGCATCCCCTGGCTGTCGTCCTGTTCCGTTTAATTCCTCGCTTCTGCACTGTCATCTTACGTAGAACGTCGGGTTCTCTTGCGGATGACGAAATCGAATCATCGACGGTACGAAATATCGTTACAATGCGAGAGAGACGTATCTTCCGGTGAACGTCCAATAGGGATCGTATTATCTTATTCTCAATTTAGCGTAAGCGCGATTTTTAATGCGTTTAAATATTGACTCTTCCGCGCGGAGAAGTACGTGCGAGTGTATTATTAAAACCAGAATTTAACGAGCGCGCTCGCAACGTTCTTTCCGTCGAAAAATATTGGATTGTTTCGTATAACGTAAATACCGTGTGTAATGAAAGAGTGGATATTACGATGAGCGCATGAAACACACGCGGGTATCTCGTTTGCTCGTTTTCTCGAATGAATTTAATCTTTACACGAGCGAACCACACACGGGTCAATATTAATCTCCGGTCTGCAATTCGAAATTTCGCAGCCGTACAAATCTTTAATTGCTGCTCGGTTTTGCAATAGTTTGAACGAGAGAAAAAGAAACAACGCGAGGATTAACATAAGCAGCGAATGTCGATATAAGAAAGATCCGGAAAACGTGATGAAAAAGATATGTGAAAAAAGACTTCCGTCGATAAACCACGCAATTTTGTTTCAACAATGCGGCGCGCTTTTCTCCGTTATACATATATACATACATACATACATACATATATATATATATGTATAAAAAAATATACTCACGCATACGTATATATATATATATATATATATATACATACGTATGCGTGAGTGTATTTTTTTATCGCTTTATAGGCTTCGTTAGGTGGGCATGCAGTTCTTTTTTTTTTTTTTTTTTTTCGGAAATACGCTCCACAGCGCGGAGACCTTCCGTGATCGCGCCGGGCTGGCGCACGTGCGTGATTGGCAGAAATTCATTTCGGGCGATTTACATGTCGCACGGAAATTGCGTGTCTGGTGCGCGTATGCCATGAGGCCCTTTGTTTAGATGGCAACGTTTGTCATCGGTTCTCCGCGTAGGTGAGCTGTCGTCGTACGGCAGACACAAGGGCGGCACGAGAAGGGTGACTTCAAGGCAGCCGGCGGGATATTGGGCACAGATGCGGACCGTTAAGATTACTTACGACAACCTTGATAATACCCAAAATGTATAAATCCCCACGTCGCGAGGCCACGTTGCACCGTCCCCGTGAACGAGAGATTTCTGTTCTCCTTCTCATAATTATTCTCTCCCTTCGCCCTTTCGTAACTATCACCCTTACGTCGACTTAAAAATTCGTGCGCGCACAGAGAAAAGGATTTCTTTGGATTTAATGAAATTTCTTTATTTGAAGCAAATTTGCTTTTTGTGATGGAGCAAACAAACGAATGTTTGATTCAACAAACAGCATTGTTTGGTTTCTCCAACAATAAATATCTTTATGTCAAATAACATATTTCTCTTGCATTTTCAAACATTACAATGGTTATCATAAACAGTAAATTATTTGAAAGAAGTGACATTGTATTAAGGAAATATTAAAGAAGGTTTTTTTGTTTTAGCGAAGTAACATTCAATACATAATGAACTCGCGGCAAATAAACGAATATGATGAATGAGAGTTAAATATTTGCGCGCAGTGTCAGTAAAATAAAATAAAATTTTTGATCGAATCCAGAAAATAGCGCGTGTCCTCCGACTGTGATTATCGCGAAAACACTTTTAAGGGACGGACATTTCTTGCGGACGAGCGCGGTGTATTGCGCCGAGTTGCGCTATCCAGGCCACATGCATCGAGCCAGCGATGTTTGCCGATCAAACAGACTTTATAACGAGATGAGCGCGTGCAGCCTGTTGACGGAAAATATTGAACGAACGTAAGCTCCCGGCATTGTCCTCGACAAAAGGGCGGCCAGTTTGTTCGCATTCAATGGTGGAACGCTTTCTCCGCGGATAGGACGCGACCCCTCGATCCTTGAAGCGAATGGTGAAACAAGCCCATTCAGACGGTATCGAGTGTGCTTCTGACACCGATTCACGGAATATCAATTTAATGGCCGGGGCCAACATTCGTCCGCGATTATATCCCGGGTGAAATTTCCCTGCGGGAGAACTCGCGACGCGACGCACGATGGGCGAAAATAAGTCACGTGTGATTCTCGCCGCGAAAATCACCCCGTGTCTGAATCGAATTTCATGATTGTCCGAATTCGCGGAGCTCACGGCGATCCATTGTGCCGTAAGCATTTCGAGATGTTACGGCATTACATTCTCCACGGTAGAAAATGTGCAATCCGTAACTGTGTGTGATGCATGTACGTAATTGACGACTCGTTAAAATAAAAGTTTTAATTCAGGCTAGCCAAGAGAAACGAATTTTCTCGTTCCGAATATTTCAAGGAAGCATTGTGAATAAATACCCTTTTGGAGGCTGAAAGTGATTTCTAATACATTCTCAAAAATTGCTATTCCTTCAACCTGCTTAAATGAGTAAATGATAGGGCATAAGAAATAGGGCATTAATCTAGAAAATAGAAACGGTCAGAAATGATCGCTCAGTGCTTTTAATGTTAAAACTTGCGTAATTCGCGAGCATTATTATGCACTTTCGACTATCAGTAAATAATTACCGCAACGAGTGTTTCAATTGCTCGATACGGGCTCGTGTAACTACAGTAAGAACAATTACTAACTAGTAGACACTAAATCCGGCAAACATCTGGCGTAACGACGCCGTTAGAAGCGCGTGATGAACACTTGAGTTAGAAATGCAAATTAATCGACGCAGGAATCGCAAGTGATCCATTCACCTATGTCCATCCTTCTCCCACCGAGGCATCAAACAGTGGCCTCGTAATGGGATAGCCCCGACCACAATACACCCTTCAGCGAGGCGGAAGAGAAACAAGGAAACAGCATTACCCGGGAAACGCGTCGGTAATCCCGACCGATCCAAGAACCATCAGTATCAATGGACGTATCAGCGTCATTGTGTCGTCGTCATCGAGGTGCGGCCCCGGCTATCACTCCCGAGTATGCACGCTCGTCCGAGGGGAATAAAAATAAAACTGCATCGTATAGAAATTCGCATATTCGTTCTATATTTCGGCCGAAAGGTC